ATACACAGTACAATATTGATTAAATTTATTTGTAGCAGGGTCATTTTGGCCATGCTATACCAAGTACAGTAAATAGAATCTGAATTTAACAGTCACCCTTAGAACCAGAGTCCTTACCAATATAAATCAAGTATCCATTAAAATCAACATACATTTTTACAATTACAAGGTTTTTTTAAATAAGTAAATAAATTCAGCTAATTTCAAGGATACATGTTTAATTTAATAGAAATCAGAAATAGTCAAAGAACTGCTTAAATTATAAAAATATTTTTATGCAATAATTAATTAACATTACATACTTAAGTTATTTTTACTTATCCAAAGTATAAGTGTGTTTTAAAATCATTGACATTTTATGTTTGGAATCCAAATCAATAATCATCATGAGTGGACCACATAATGTATTATGCAATAGATGTATGTGGTCTTATAATATAAATATTTTCTACGATTGTAAAAATTTTATTTGTAGAATTCAAGTAAATGTGTTTTCCAGATGTCAAATGACAGACCATTTTCAAAATTAATTGTGTATTTAAAAAGTGACTTATTTCAATAAAAAATAATTAAATTTATTAGAAAAAAGTCAAAAACAAATTTACATTTTACAACCATGATTTTGATTAATNTTTTTTAGATTATATTCATGTTTGTTTTTTCTAGTATTAAAATATGAGTAGACTAAATAGATCATACGCACAGTTTTTACTTTAGTTATTAGCATCAGATTTATATACAGTATTGTTACTTTTTATCTGTAGTAAATAAATTATTCATTAAAGAAACTTTTTTTAAATTTTCTATATCAGAAGATTAACATTTATATTTTCAATTTAAAATAGTTTTTTAAAACAAGTTAGAGAACACATACACATACACATAATTTAACAAATGATCTAATAGTGATAATGTTTTGAATTAAAAATTATTTGTAATTTTGAAAAGTTTCAATAAAGATTCGAATAAAAATAGCCAATATTTTACATATAAAATTTCTTAAATGTGAAATATACTCTGACGTAAGCATATTTAACAGATACTTTATAAAATGTTTTATATTATCAGCAGGCGTAATTTGTGACGTATATTATGCAATGTCTATTAATTAAGTTGCTAGGTGAGTAATTGATAAAAGCTTTGATTTCGCTAGTACTTGTAATCATTATCCATTTTTCAACGAAAGAAAAAATATTTCACTGCTTAGATGAATAAAATAAAAGAGTTACTTTTTACTTTATGTTATCGATCGATGTTTCAGCTTTTCACCGTTTTTATACATATATCTTATATATTTTTGCTTTTGTATTAGTAAAATAGAGTAAATAAAACTGTTTTAAAAATGTATTGTTAACAATAAAGTATTTAATTCGTCTGGATTTTAATATTAATACAGCTAATGATCGTTGAATAATTTAAATTATGTTATATTTTAACTAGTTACTGTATATAGAATCAGAAATACACAATTAATTTTAAAAATGGTTCTTTTGTTAGTAGTCTAATGGTAACATAATAGAAGTTATTGAATATTTTAATATATTTGGCCTTCCTCTTTTGGGTGAAAGATCTAAAACACAGATTTCAGAAAGATCTAAAGATATCTTNGTAACATGTGTCAGACATGTGTCAGGTGTGTGGATGTCAGCAAGTGGTGGTCCACAGCTTGGTCACACGTGTCAGGTAGGTGAGGTAACAGTATCCCCAAGAATGTGGGGGAGATTGTCCCGCCTAGAGAGGGAAAAATGGTGAGAGAGGGAAAATTTGTGTGCTTCCCTTTGGGTGTGTGTAGAGTCAGAGTTGTGTGTGGAGGCAGTGCTGAGAGGAGTGCTGACCGCAGTACTGACCAGGGAGCTAACCAGAGTGGGTAGCTGCGTGGCTGGTCAAGAACCAGTATTGTAATTACCAATAATTGTCGGGTGCCTGAGTGTTGTTCGATTGTGGAGTGCCAGAGAGTCACTCGCTGATTTGGAGACATTAAAGTGTCATTGTATTGTTATTGTTAAAAAGGAAGTGTGTGCTGTGTTCTTTTAGACCGCGTAAACGGGAACATTTCATACCACCATCATCACAACATCATTTTTTATACAACACTAACCTTTCAAATTGTTTCTGCCGAGGCACTATTTTCTCTTTTAAACTTTTTTAAAAAATATCGAAACTTTAAAAAGGTTATTCATCAAATACCTCATATTNTGAAACAAAGGAAATTTTCAGTCTTCCAAACAATAACATCTCTCTTCCTCTTCGCCTCCTCATCACCTTCCACATACGCCATCAAAGTTACAGGTAAAGAGAGGATAAATTTGCATTTATTTCGTATATTTATTGGGTTGCATTTTTCAAATTTCAGACCTATACATTCCCACTGTCATCCAGTCTGTCTGTCCTTCGTTAATCTCGAGAACAGAGTTAGACAGATTAAAATCGAGACCAGATATCGAAAGCTTAGGAGCTGGAAACGTCGATTAACTATAGACGAACTTCCGGGCTGTACCGGAAGTCACGTAATTTTTTAAAATTAAAATTGTAGCCAGACACTGTGATGATGTCACAATAAATAATTGCTCAATATGTTTAGGTTTATTTTTTATAATTTATAAATGCTAACCTTGCAAACTTCTTGTTAAATTCTAGTTAAAATGCTTTTATAAATATATTTTTGGGGAATGAAACTGATTGATCTAATTTACATAATTCCTTACAGGAAATATTCGTTTGGTACCAGAACAGATTGGTACTCAAAACGAATTAAGTTCGACTACCGAGGCGTCACTGTATTTATTTACAACAGTAGAGAACTTTATCACATTTTTTTCATAGAATTGGTAATTCGTTATCTTTAAACCTTGATTATGTATTAAAAATGAAAGTCAGACATTGTATGGAGGTTGATCATTGTATAAAGTACCTCTTAGTGATCACTGAACGAGAAGAGTCACTTCTCCTTTCAGCTATTATTGTGTATTGAAGCATTCAAAAATTTCATTCAGGTGGTGGATTAAATATGAATTTCACAAACTGTGAACATTGTATAAAATTTACATACGCTTAAAACTTCGATTTAGCGCCAATATTTGTTCGTTTCTGAAATTGGCACTAAACTGAATGAGGTACTAAATTTAAGTACCTAAAACTATAAGAATTAAATGTAACGAACAAGAAATATTGTGAGATTGTCTTAATTCCAGGATGCAGTTTTTAATCATGTTTTTAATTTATTTAATTTAAAATATATGCTCTTGATTTTAGTAGTGTCTTGTCTCTGTGCATTATACTTTTCCTCTAACGATAGAGTTGTATGACAATTGTTATCAGGAAAAGTATGATGTACAGGGGCAAGACACTACAATAGTAATTTGATGTGGAGAACATATATTTAAATTAAACAAATTAAAAAATATGATTAAAAATTGCAGCCCGGCATTGTAACGATGTCACAACAAATAATTGCTCATTAATTATTACATTTTTGTTTCTGAAAGATGAAAGTATTCAAGCAGTTGATCATCTAATTCTTGAGATACAAACTGTCCATTTCTTTAATATTTGATTATTTTGAATCATTAGTAGATTGCTTCAATATTTTGTGTCCTGAAGAACAATAGATAAAAACTGACTATTTAAACTTATTTTCTTCCCAAGCTGCAAGCTTTTTGTGATTGAAATGCAGTTTAGATATATGTTTTTGTTCAAATATTTTTAGCCATAACAATATACTGTATGCTTCTTATCGCCTTCTTTTTCATATCACAGGTATGGTAATGTAATAAAATATTAATTTGAAAACTATTATATAATCAAATTGGTTAAAAATATATTGGGTTGTTCGGAAAGTAATTTCGTTTTTTTTTTACCACTAGACGGATTAGTCGTATTTTTCCCGCCATTTTCATTCTAAACCGTATTATGATCATACATTTTGACAGCTAGCATTTTAAGGCTTATTTGTAAAAAATTTTGTTTGATTTTGTACAATTGTTTATTTTTTGTGTCCCATCAAATATGGAAGATCGAAAGCAGCATTTTCAGCATATTTTGCTCTTTTATTACCGAAAAGGTAAGAATGCTGTTCAAGCGAGAAAAAAATAGTGTGACGTTATGGAGAAGATGTATTGACAGAATGACAGTGCTAAAACTGGTTTACAAAATTTCGTTCTGGCAATTTCAATATTGAAGTTGCACCACGTTCTGAATGGCCAGTTGAAGCCAATGAAAACAAAATAAAGGTACTGATTGAAGCAAACTGCCGAATAACAACACGTGAAATCACTAAGAGATTAAATTTGTCAAATTGAACTGTTTATGATTACTTGAAACAAATTGGTTTCTTTTCAAATCTTGATATATGGGTTCCGCATGTTCTTAAAGAGAGATGATCTCTTTGGTGGGATTTTAAGGAAATTTTATTTTTGGAGCTTTTACCAGACAATTTAACAATTGATTCGAAAGTGTACTGCCATCGAGTAAACAAATTGAGTAATATCATCAAACAGAAAAGGCGGCCAGAATTAATCAACAAAACAGTTTTACCACGATAATGTTTTACCACGATAATGTCAAATTTCACACAAGTTTGGTAACTCGTCAGGAACTGTTATAACTTATATAACAATTATAACAACACTTATAATAATATTAGGAGAATACTTATGCTTTTTAAAAGAGAAACCAAAACTAACGTGTTTAATATTGATGGCTTGCACAATCAAGTGAGACTTTAAACTTTTTAGAGGTATGATTTTGGCATCATTGATTTATCTAGGACTTTTTGAATGACTTAAAAGAGGGCATGAGGAGATAACAACACAGGACTGACAGAAATTTTGTTATTTATTTAAAATAATACTGTATTTATATCTTAATATTTTACTTTTACTTTTTAATATAGTATTGTTACATTTATGTTGTTTATGTAGTTTAATCTAAGTAATTATTAAAACAATAAAAAATATATGCATTATTTATTTAATTATATGAAGTAAAATTGCCCCTAAGATTTGCTCCTGGATTCGTCTTTTATTAAACATAGCACGAGTATAGTAAATAATCTGATGATATGTAAGAATACAATAAAAGACTAAATGAAGTTTATTTATGTAAGAAACTATAACAAATATACGAGGTCGAGTAAAGCACGAATGAAATTTTTGGTCCAGGTTTTATTACACAACACAGCAACTCTTAACGTCACATCACTTTCAAAATAATCGCTTTCTGCAAATACACACTTCTGCAAGCGAACATGCACACTATACTCGTAGACCTATTACTTCCAAAGTAATCCTGGAAGCCTTTTCTTGTAATGTCTTTAAAGATTTTCGTTGCTATGGCTTTTACATTCGGCCTCAATCGCTCGTTCCTGATAAATGAATATTTGACCAAGATGGTCTTACTTTAGAAGTAATAGGTACCATAACAATGCTTTCTTAACTTCTTTACTCTCCCGATCTTGTCCCCACAGACTTCTATCTTTTCCCTACAATGAAAGAGAAATCGAAGTGTTACAAGAAGAACATTTGAAACGAAAATGTCTAGCTTACTTACTTGTTAAATGTCTTTCTTGTTCAAAAAAAGAAAAAAAAATCAGAGGAGATATTAATTGATGAAATTGCTGCAGCTTCCTCATCTGTAAGTATTAAAGAATTCGACTATGTCACTGAACAGGAATTTCCAACGTTAGAGACAACCAACATTCTTCAACTTTATTGCTTAATATTATGTAACTTTATTTTAAAATAATTTTTAATGATCAAAGCTTTATTATCAGCGGCTTCTTCTAGTTTGCATCGAATACCTCATTTTTAATAGTTTGGAATAAGACAGTTTCATATTGTAATTCTGTTCCTAAATCATTTAAAAACACAATAACAGTATAATATGCAGGAAAATATCACAAATTGTTGCTTATTCATTCTGTTAGAGCAGTAAGAAGACTACAACATACTGTGAGAAAACAAACAATTTAGGTAGGCCTTCTTTTGATAGGGAATGAGCTATAAATTGTTTATAACTGACGCTTTAGTGAAACACATTGAATTAATAAAATCATTAATAGAGATTTGAAGTCAAGGCAGCCTTTTTTTAATCTCAGATTCCAGAAAACATTCTTCGATTCAGACGAAAATTTTCCATAAACGAGAATACATTATCGAAGAAGTTAAAAATATGTAATAGGCCTATACAGATTTTTGTGTTTTTTCAAAATTCTTGTATTCGTTTATTATTTATGCATTATACTTTAACTTTCACACTATGTTTAACTTATTCAGTATATTGTAAAGGCGCATTTGCATTACTAACTTGATAACGATTATATTAATTCAATCTATGTTGACAGATAATCTATTCACAAAGTAAATTTTAACTCGTGTTACCAAATATAATTCAATTAGTTCTGATCAAGTCAATAATGTCAATGCTGCTTTGATAATCTAACCAAAAAATATAATTCAAACTATAATTAGGCCTATATAATCAACTTACTAGAATGTTAAAAATGATTAAATGTTACTTATGAAAGTTTACAAAGAAAAATATTAGGAAGTATACATTATAAACCAATACACAAAGGTACAAATTATAGACATGGTAAAACTATAACTTAGAAAAAAGAGTACCTAATTCTAGAGTACAAAAAAAAGAAAAAAAACAATATAGCCTACTATTTCTTTACATCATCTGTTTACGGATTTGAAATTTTAATCTCAAGAAAAAGCGATGTAAAGATTCGTAAAATCATATTTTATAATATAATACCTGTACTATAAAATTAATTTCCAATAGCTAGATTTAGAAAAACAGATCAAATGCAAGATAATAAGCCAATTCTCATATTCATCCTCTGAGCATCGCGCATCGAATAATAAGCCATTAGTAGATTTACAGAAATATCCGAACAAACTATTGCTCAAAGTAGCATCGGAGCGATCGCTACTCGAATAAGTAACTTTAAAAATTGTCAAAATCGAGATATTCAAGATATTTCCATTTGTAATAATCGAGTTGCTTGATTTTCTTCCTAATTGTATTGCGATTTTTGAATGCCTGTATGTATCAAATTATATGTTAAACTTGTAAATATCTGACGGGGCCATATGAAATGATACCGAAAACTTTCAGAAAGCATGCCCTCAGCAGGACAAGTTTTTGAGTGGCTTAAACTCTTTTAAAAAAAGTCGATTATCCACTGATGATATAATAGTTTTCCGAAATAACTTCAGAAATGTCTCTAGGTCCGGATGTGTGTGATTTATCCTCGGTGAGATGGATGCCCCGGGATGGCGTTGATTTCGAATGCGGAACTCAGACGAAGTTAACTAGGTGAAATTGGGAATGTCCTTGATAATCTCAGTTGAGAAGACATAACAGAAACACAGGCATAAAATTAAAAAATTAGAATAAACTTTTGATAAATAATTTCAAATTAATAGAAGGAAGAACGTCGTAACAGATTCGTTGAAATTCCTGATTGCCAATACTATTAAAACACACTAGCTTAAAATACTTTTTTTAAAACCCTTTCCGCAATGTGAGCACTATGAGGGCCTCTTTTTAGCAAACTCGTTATGATTTCGGCAAGGCCCACAATGAGGTGACTTGACTGGGTGGTGAGGGACGGAGCCAAGACGTATCCGAACGGTCCACTCCTCGGAAAATGGAAAATTTATGGGGATATTTCGACCCGTCCAGATCTGATCTCCCGGGTCCCTGCCAGAGCGGCAGGCTGACACCTTGACCGCTCGGCCATCTTGCAAACTTAAAATACTATAGAAAGAGCTAAGATTAAATAAACAATTCTCGGACGAAGTCAAAATTAGATATCAAATGGTATTCGGACGATCAGCTTCTCTCGCGTCCTAATCTGTCTTCTGATATCTGGAAACTGAGGATGACTAATTTAAGAAACGAAGAAGGAAGATCTTTCTACATCAATCAGAATTCTATTCATTAATTCGCTAAAATCCTCATATATAACTGCGGAATCAAAGACACTAGGCTTTTATCCCATCGATTGTTCACTTGCATTTTCTCCTGGATGTCCTTCTTCCGAAACTGCTTAGAGACTGCGCAAGTTCTATTCTATTTTTCCATTTAATTTACGACTGCCCGTACTATTAAAACACACTAGCTTAGGGTTCGCTTCCCCTGACACGGCCCCCGAAAATTCTAGTCGTTTGCACTCATCTCGTGCTCGCGACGTACAATACTTTATTTTAACTCCTCTCGACGTTTTGTTTGATAACGTCAAGTCATGGGGCCGGTTGAATAAAAAGTAGTAAATACTTCTACTACAATTTTTCTAGCGTTTACTAGAAGTTTGATGAATAAAAGTTAGTAAATGCTTTTATAACAGTAAAAGGTAGTAAAAGCAAAAAGTAAAAGCTTGGTTTTATTCACTTCGATTATAAGACTAGTAAATGCTTATAAATCTGTGAATAAAAATTAGTAAAAGCTTCCTTTTTTTAAGTAAATACTTCAAAACATTGAAGTTAGCTCTACAGCCATCTTTAAAACACAAGTAAAAGGTTTCATATTCGTATATTTTCGATTTTCAACATAGAGAAAATGGCTTTGTTGTATCCAACAATGTTGTCAAGAAAAACTAAGCAGTATAGACCCAGAAACAATACGATAACTGCCGATTTCAGGAAATTATATCGATTTGATGAAGAGAACGTAGAGTGGATCGCCAACCACTTTCTTGGTTGTAAAAATGAGACAAGGGGAGGTTCCCTTTTTTCCAAAACTAAAATGATGATATTTCTAAGATACATTTCTGATCCGAGATTTCAGACAGGAGTCGCAAACGACATCGGCGTTATATATTATACATTATTTCTATCTGTAATTTCTCCTCGTCGCGACGCTGTTTTTTCTGTATATTCTTTTGGTAATAATTTCTGTTACATTCACATTCTTTTACTTTTTCGTACGTTTTTCGGGGATTTGGACATGATCCGGAAATTCATAACGTCAATTTATTTCATTCGATTCTTATTAAAAAAAATGCAAGAAATAAGCATCAAAGTGCCGAAGAATCGTCGTGAATCAGCTTTAAGACGTTTACAGAACATAGTAAAATGAAAACGATCAGAATTATGGAACAAGAAGTCCTGTCGTTACATCACGACAACACGCATCACACTGTCATATTGTATTCGCTACTCACCGATTTCTAAGCAAAACTTCGATGACAATCATGACACAACCGCTCTATTCTCCAGATTTATTTTCACCTGTTTTTTTTCTCTTTCTTATACTAAACAAATGTTAAGTATAAGAACACATTAAGGTTTTTCATTCGGTAGAGGGAAGTAAAAAAAAAAAAGAGAAAGGAAAGGAGTTTTATATGGAAAGATAAAAAATGTTTCGTGAATTATAAAAAAAAAGAAAAAATAAACAGCAGCAATGTATCAAGATACCTATGGAATTATTTTGAAAGGAGACATCAGTTAATTTTTTTTTCTTTTTTGTATGTTTAAATCTTCAAGATAAAACACTAAATTAAAATAAAAGTAGCCTTTCCATCGTTAGTAAGTCGATCATCTGATTCTTAATCATAATAATTAGACTCAAATTTATAGATTTTTTTTGTAGTTATCACTTATCTTAATGCAAATTAAATGATATATCGTTTGTGAATTAATGAAAAATAATTTGCTTTACGTTATAATATCAAAATAAAAATGTGAATTTTATCATTAATAAAATATAGATATAACAGAAAAAATTCCCTAATAGTTTAATCGTCATTACAAAATGCAAAGTTTAAACTTTAATATAATTTGATATGGAAGATTGTGTTTGAAATTGTAAATAATTATTTTTAATGTGTAAAATTACAATATAAAATGTATATTTTAAAATATATGTTATTAAAACTATAACGGTAAATATTGAAATGTATTAGAAGTTGCCCATGTATAGTAAGAGATTGAGCATAATACATAAATCTTCAATATTTAAATCAATTTAATGCATTCTAATTTTTTAGAAAAAATAACAATTTTAAAATTTTATGTATAAAAAAATTATTCTTTATCATAATTTAAGCATTTTAAATATTATAGATAATCCAATTAACTTAATAATAATATTATAATTAATGTAATTAACAAATATCATCTATAAACTTGAATATACATTAATACTAGCAGATATGCCTGGCCTTGCCCGAGCAAAAAGTAATAAGGATAAACATTTAAATTAAAACTATATTAAAAGTTTGATTATTTTAGGCCAGCTCAAATCAACAGCATTATTTTGGAGGAGCTTCTTGCCACTTTTTAAAATTATCATTAAGAATATGAGTGGCGCTTTCATTAATTATTACGCAACGTTTGATTTTATAATAATGCATTAAATATATTATCACAAAGTGTGAAGGGAATGAAATCGGGGATGTCCAGGTTCCGTAATAGCGTATATTTTCTTCGGGATGCTAGTGGTTTAGGAGACAATAGGGAAAATTAAATTGGGAAAGAGAAATGACTAGAGCCGTGTTCATTAACACAGAATGGCAAATAAAAAATATAATTAGATAGGGGGCGGAGATAAGAAGTATTCTAAGTATTTTTGAACGGTTTAGGGTTAGTAAGTTGGACTGATTGTGTGAAAAATGGTAAATGACGTAATCATCATAATTTTATTATAATTTGATAAAATAAATTATAATAATTTAATGACCTTTATATATATGTATATTTAATCCAGCACGAGCTTCTTGCAAATTGTACGAGACAAAAACAACGATGTCACTAGTAGAAGTTAGCGTAGACAAAACAAACTGACGTAGCTAGTTGGAGTTCTAGCAATAGGGGAGTCAGTAGTAGTTAGAAACGAGTTCAAAATCGTAACATAACTAGACTTAACAATACTTCTACGATACTAAACGCGGTTCAGATTACCTGATGGCTTTTTCTGCAAGGTCTTAGAGTCTGGAATGTTACGGTCAGTCTAGTTTAGAAGAGTATAGAAAACAAACACACAGACATTCTATTTTGCATATATAGGGGAGACCGGGGCAACTTCGGCATGCGGGGCAAGTTTGTCAAGCGCTTTTTTTTAAAAACAAATTAAAAGGAGACTTTGGTTATAGGTTAGGCAGTTGAGTTTTATTGGTGGCTTGTTGAGTGTAGTGTTTTTATTGTTCTCCAACAAGCGTAGTTGAATTATCAAGCAAATTTTCATTTTCGTTCAATTCCATATAATATTTTTTTTCCATTTATATTGAATTGGCAGGTTTTGTTATAATTCCATGATAACGAAAGTTACTTTTCCTGTTAGAAGGATGTAACTTCAACTTATTCACGTGGCCAGATCGTGGCTTGGCATTCTGTTCTCAGGGTTGTACTTAATGTTTCGAAATCATGACTAGCGGGGTAAGATCGGCAACATAAAGCCACATTAGAAGCAAAGGATAAAAATCAAACAGATGATAAATGAAAACATGTTTGCATTTGTTATTCATGTATATATGTCTTTGAACTTGCATTTCGTTGTAATAATATTAAATGGGTGTTGGATTTGTATTTCTTTGTTTTAATAGTGAATTCCAACTTATACATTGTTAATAACATAATTTTATATACGTGCCTATCTTGCCCCATTACTGTTGCCCCTATACCAGGGGCAACTTTAATAAAAATAATTAAAATAATTACAACTTTACAAAAAGAGAGAAGTTGCCGATCTTGCCCCTATACCCGGGGCAACTTCGTCAATTTCTCTCTTCTTGTAAAGTTGTAATTATTTTAATTATTTTTATTTCCAAACTGATTTTAACCAGTTCTATAGTAAGGTAACATTCCAATAGACAATATGCAAAGCTTTTTTTTCAGTTTACAGCAGTATTTATTACACAAAATTTAAGTAAAGCTTAACATGCCGATCTTGCCCCGGTCTCCCCTAGATATTTAATATTTCGAGTTTCTGTTCATTGTTTTTAAAATTTGTAATATCTTATTATAAAAATTAAAATTAAAATATTTAAAATATATATAGACTAAGAAGGAAATTACTTCAAAGATTATATTACTTTCATTTTGTAGTTTAGTCGCTATTCGCTTCTATAGCATTCCCAAGACGCCAATCGTAGTACGCTAATCGTTAAATTAAGCATGCGTGGGTAAACTAGTTTGTGTTACATAATAAAAAGAGTTCTAACTCGTCAATATAAAATTTGCTACTGTCTGTTACTGTTATTAACTTCCTCAATTATAAACAGAAAGAAGATATCGATGATTGAAAACACATTACATAACTATATCAAATACATTTAATTTTTTTACAAAAGAAATAATGTAATTGAATGTCACGATTGTATAAAATTATTATGATTAAATTCGATTTTAAACTTTTAATGAAAAAAAAATAATGAAACCGATTTATGAAAATTTTATTACAAGACTTCTTAACAATTTCTAACTGAGACATCATAGAAATTTATTCAGTTAAAAACGTCATCACTTATGTCTATATTCACAATCAAGGAGTTATTGTTAGAAGGTAATCAATAATGTTCGCGTACTAAAGTAATGGTAATTGGTTTGACTTCTAACTTTGCGCGTTGGTTCTAACTTTGCGCGTTGGTTCTAACTTTGCGCGTTGGTTAAAGTCTTGATGCCATATAGAGTACTATCGGAATAACATTCAGGGCTGTCTAGAAGAGAAAAAGCAAAAAGAGATAAACGACCCGATCCCCGAGAAATTAGCTATAAGGAAGTAAACGAATGCTTTTTTCGTTCACTTCCTTAACTTCAATGTTATAATTTAATTTGCTACAGGACCCCAATATGTATTTTGCTCCAAGACTCGATTATTTGTACGAATCTGATGATATAACAGTAGATCTAAAATTGGATCATCCCGATCCTGTGATAATACTTAATATAATTTGAACAGAACCATAATATTATTGTAATTTGGTAAACATATTTTTACTAATCTCATCGCCGATTATTAAAAATTATATATCACAATCTGACAAAACATTTTTACTTAATTGACATAAATAGAAAACGAAGAACGCTTCATGAATTCCATATTCGAAAAAATTTTAACATTCTATAAATGAATTATTTGTGTTGGCCAGACAAACAGAGAAATGTAAGAACAAACGTAAATATCGTGCTATCTTGAATACAAATTATTCTAGACGGATAAAAAATGTGAATTAAATATGTATATAAATATTAAAATCATACTAAAATAAATATGAATAACCGGATTTTATACAAATAAAACAAAAAACGGCAGACTAATATCCATTCTATTTAGAAATATGTAGAGTGATAGAATAATTAATTGATATCAAGTACAGAATTGTTACTAATAGCAATATTCAAGACGTTGTCTAGTTTTCTAATTTGTATTATCTTAACGTATCAGACATAAACAAGTTGGAGTGTCTTAAAGTTTTTATATTGTGATAATGATCAAGTATACGTTACTATTTTAAAATTAAATAAATTAAAACTATTAAATGAATACAATTACTCAAACATTGCATTTCTGTATATAAATTTGAATACTTTAAAATTAATTAATTAAAAGTTAATTTGAAAATGAGTTGTGACGTCAGTATTAATTTGAAAAATCGTTAGACGACTTTAATTTAATAATTTATTTATTTATTATTTTTTAAAATTTATTCATGAAATATTTTTTAAGCATTTAAAAAATTTGTTTGCAAAATAAATTTCGAGTATCCAGTTTTTAATTTTACCTCCTGTCATTGAAGAATGGACCTTTCCGCATTTACGTCACTTCTGTTTTTTTTCGTCATCTTAAAACGTCATTCTGAGATGGAGCATGCGTATTATTCATACTATCGCTGCGTAGTTATAACGCCTGAGTGATCGCTTTCCTGCTTTGCAATCGCCTTCGTTACAGTTTTAAGGTTAGTAAACAATTTTTATTTATGTAAATCGATTACAAAGCATTAAAAATGTACGATTTAATTTTTAAATATTTGTAATATGCATGAGTTTTTCTTTATAAGCATTTTTTTTTAATCGCGGCGCTTTGTTTACATGGCGTATTTTCTCAATCTAATTTTATGATTTCACCACTTTGAATATTAAGAAAATTGCCATTAAAATGCATTTAAATCATGCACAAAATAAAAATAAATGACATCGGATATAATTTTAATTTTTTTAATACAATTTTTTAAAATTTCTCCATTTATGTGCAATTAACTAAAACGACTTATTTATGTTATTTAGCGTGAAAATGCGACTTTTCTTCGTAACATTTCTGATTTTTCATTATTTATTTATGGATTCGAACGTTGAATCAGTTCCAACGGCCGAAAGAAAAGGTGAGCCAAATAAGGAAACCAATTTTTTATATTAAGCAAATGATTTTTTTTCTATTTAAATTTTATCTATAAAAATTATGTTTAAAGAACGAAGGAAAATAAATAAATAAATAAATATATTATTCCGTTACTATAGCGACTAAATAACGCTTTTAAAAAAAGCTTAATGGGTCGTCAAGAGTTTAAAAATACAATCAAGTAAATATTTTAAAGGTAAAAAGAAAAAAAGAAAAAAAAAGATTAATGCTCGAGAGTATAAAGAAAAATCGATTTGACTAAATGTCAAGTTATTATAGTTATCTATGACGTCACGGCGATTAGTCCGTTATAATAATAATCATAATAAAAAAATGATGGCATAAAAGGATTTACCATTATTCGTAAAGGGCATATTTGAAGAGGAATAATAATAAAATTATTATTCCTCTTCAGATGATGGTACATAAATTTAATCGGGTAACATATTTTCTGTAGATATAAATCAGAAGATTATTTTAATCTGCTTAGGATTTCGTGGCGCATTTCCTCCCCTCTTCGGCGCTGAATTTTCGGGTTTATAAATTAATTTTCAGAAATAAATGTTTTAAAATATTTATAGAATGATTTATTTTAAATCAATATTACTATAATCGAAAAATGCAAATCGCTCGAAGCAGAAAATTAATAAAATGTTTTATCAGAATTTCTATTAAAACAATGCATTTACTTACCAAACAATTTTAATAGTATACGCGCTAGTAATTTAAATGCTAAATTGCTACATTTAGCGTTATGAAGGAATTTAACATTCCACAAATCGTACGTGTAAACGCTAGTGAAATTTTAAATATTCAAATAAGTTAATATAAAAATCGATTCTGAGGAATGAAAGCGTTATATTATTTATAAATAAAGACGACAGAACGAGAGATGGAATATTAAATCAATAAATTAAGGTATTCGGTTGATTAATCGTTTAAATTTGCGGAAAATCGACGTTTTGTCTTCGACTCGAAGTAGACGTAGTACATGACGTAATATTAGACGAAGCGTTTCCATTAGCATTCATATGACATAGGATGACCTCATTCATCTCTTCTTTTTCCTCGTTATGGAAAGAAAATAGAAAAATGATAAAAATGGAACAAACTGGAAAAAAAAGAGAAAACATTTAATTAAAATTCCCCTTCTAGTGCAAATTTAAATTATATATTTTTCGTATAGAAATATTTATCGAAAATTATTATATTAAAATATTACAGCGAATAATTTAAATTATTTAAAATATTGTTCGAGCAAATTCGTATTCTGTCACGTGAACGGTGCTCTATATTTTAAAATAAATTCAGCCGAGTATTAAATGTCAAAACAATCTTCGGCACGTGATCGCTTGCGATTTTAAAATGTATCACGCAGTAGCGCGTGCAAGTTAGCCGGGAAACCGCGTGGAAATCACGTTATTGATCTTAACATTTTAATATGTCACGTTACCGTTCAGAATTTACCTATTAGCCTAAAATGTATTTTACCGTCGCTGATGGAATCTGAATTTGCTACTTACGAATGCTTTTTTTGTAGATCTGAAAATATTATATAATGTAATATTTTATTTTATTTTTTTTTTTATTCTATTGCTTTCAAAAAGGAAATGAAAATCAGGTGAGTACTAAATTGTTATTAACATTTTATTGATTATAAAAGGGCGATGCTAGAATTGAAATTAATAATCATCTATAAACAAAAATATTAATAAATAAAAAATATTTTTAATTTTTTGAATTCTAGTCCGCTGCTACGTTTAATAATAATAAAATAAAGTTAGAGCTTTCCTATACACTTGTGCCATTATATAGTCGAAATTAAATGTATAGTTATGTATGTAAATTTATGCATTTTCACAATGTTGTGGCGTATGTACTGTACCATAAACTGTTCTTGCTCTGAGATAAATAGAGGAAGTATTTTCTCCGAATAAAAATATTTATCTTCCTATCCTCAATGATTAATAATAAAATATAAGACAAAGAACAAAATAATTTTACTACATTTAGCATTTTAATAATTTACTTTGTACATCTCATTCGGATAAATTGGAGACATAACTGTCCTAAGATATTAACAAAATATCTTATCCGGTTATTGAATTAACAGGAAACGATTGACGAGATAATACAATACAGAGTCTATGGCGTCATTTTATCAACGTTCCCATTCGATTGAGTATAGGGCTACGCGAAGATTAGATGGCCGTTGCCTTATCGACGAAATACAGTCCTAGCAACACAGGACGATCAAGTTTTTTGATAAATGAAATTGCCTTTTTCCATGAAAATCGAAGTTGATCTTGAGGTCCGTGTCTCTCGTGATGTGTTTCGAAGATCGAGAGCCAACGTTATAATTTAACTTTCACGTATTAGTCTTGTATAAATACGTAATTATAATTCTTATTTAATAAAGGTAAACATTATCAAAGTTTTTATTCATTTAAAACTTTCAAGTACTATCCAGGATCTACATTTCCATTAATAAAGGAAAATGTCTTTAGGCGTTAAATTATTTTTCGATGAGTCTTACCTTTAAACCGTTTTTTTGACATTATTTGTGTTTTATGCTTCGGTAACGATGCTTTGCCTCTAGTGATGCAATACACTGGTTTGTGAACAGTATTCGATGTTTACACCGTTCCACTAATACGGCAGAGCAGACTCTTCAAGGTCGAACAAACAATCTATACAAAAACATAAAAATTCCAACTACACTTGCCGGCTGGCATTAATCACAAACATTCGTTTGGTTTTGCTTTTCAGATTACTTTTCTGCTGACATTTTCACTCTTTTATGAATTTTTCTTTTTATTAATTTTTTCTATNATAATCTTTTCTTCAATTCACTTAACGCTTATTTTTTTTTTATTATTGTATTCATTTCACGCCATTTTAATCAAGTAATTAGGCTGCAAATTTCATATTTCACACCCGATCTAAATGGATGAAAATCAAGAACAAATATAAACTTACGAACCGAACACCTCGATTAACTATTGTATATATAAACTTTCGGTCTTTTCGGTCATAATATACATTCGATTTTTAAATTTTATTTTTATATTTAAATTGCGACTTCCGCCGGTAACCGGACGATTGCTGACGTAATTCTTTCAGTTGTAAAGTACAGTACAGTACAACTTAATGGAATTTTTGAATATTTCATCTTCCTATCAATTAACTTTCACAAATTTCAAGTTATGAGACAATAATCGGGTTTATTTTTATATTTAAATTGTCACTTCCGCCGGTAACCGGACGATTGCTGACGTAATTCTTTCAGTTGTAAAGTACAGTACAGTACAACTTGATATACTTTAACAAGTGTGGAACATCTTGCCTCGCTTGTTAGTCACGTGCCAGGATTTTCCAGTCAATGTAGTTTATATGATGTCAGTGACATTCCAATTTTAACGTCACAAATTCGGGAAACACTTTCACTCGTTGACATTTTTTCTCCCCCTGTATCAATAACTAAATACGAGAGGGAAAATACGTGGCTATTATTCAATATTCATTTAATTGACTTTGAAATCGAGAAAGCGGTAGACGAAAGATGTAACTAATACATTTTAAGTTAACATCTTAAGCAAAATAAACAAATTTTTAAATAAATTGACAAAACTGATTAATTTTTAGTATCTGAATATCGTTACTTACATATGTATACTTCATTGAATGTAGTTTTTAAATACCCTACTAAATAACTTAAACGATAATAAAATTAAGAAAGTAATTTATTTATGTATAATGTTTTATTAATTCTTATTTGTTTTTGAAAGACATACGCTATAAATATATCATACATTCAATTGTAAGAACTAAATAGCAATTTAAGATTAATAATATTCTATAACTCTAATTATCTTTAAACATATTGGGAATATTCGATATTGAATAATGAATATCGATATTGAAATATAACATTAACATAAAATATACATTATATTTTTATTAACATTAAGTTGTATTCTGATAAATTAACGCGTAGATTATGTATTAATACAATATTTGTATTAATACAGAAACTGTGTGTTAATAATAATTATTAACACACAGTTTATAATATTAGCTATATTAAATATATAGATAATCAACTGTTGGAATGTAAATATTTTTATATTTTTGAAAATCAATATTTTAAAATCAAAGAATAAATGTAATAATAATAGTAGAATTGAGCAAGTATAATCATTGATAGATAAAGAAGATTCTTTATAATAGCATTTTGTGGTTTAGTTTCCTTATGATTAATGTAGAATTTATGATTACAGTAATAATATTCCATTTTAGCATCATGTTTTTTTTTAGAATTCTAGAAATTTTATGATTGATATCTAAATTAGGTTGCCACTTGTCGTTTTGAAACTTGATGATTTCAATTCATTAAAAAGTGAGATTTACACTCAGGAAGTCAAAGCACAATAAGATGTTGTACTAGTGGATAAATATTTTTGGGTTGTAATGGAATATATAAAATGCAAACATTTTTATCGGTAATTTATTGTTTTTTTGCAGATAACTATATACTATATTTATTTTACTTTGACATTTTTTAAATGAAATTCTGATTTTGTCGACGAGATCTTGTAAATCACAGATAAAAACTACCATTTACTAATACGTACCGGTAACACTCAAGTATCGGCATCAATATGCGGACCACTGATTTAAAGGACTATATTTTTAATATTAGTTTATCAAACGACAGTTCCAATTAATTTACAAAGCATTATCAAATTATAGGCTATATTTATGATATATAATAAAACATTTATAATCCTTCGTATCATGCAAAATTAGCTTAGAATAAAATAACTATTTTAACTTGTAAAAACATTTTTCTATACATGAGGTCTAATTTATATTTTATTAATTTAAATTATATGATGATAATAATAATAATAATAATATAGTAAATAATAAATAAATATAGCCTAATAATAATTCTTATTATTTAGAATTATTATTATTGTTATAGGCA